CTATAATCAAAACAGTCTGGTACTGGCCTAAGAACAGACACATAGGCCAACTTACACCATACATGAAAAATAAACTCAAGATCGATAAAAGACTTAAATATAAGTCATGACATCATAAAAGTCCTAGAGGAGAACATAGTCAGGAAAATCTCAGATATCCCATGCAGCAATATTTTCACTGATATGTCGCCTAGGGCAAGGGACATAAAGGAAAGAATAAACAAATGGGACTACATCAGACAAAAAGCTTCTGCATGCTTAAAGAAAACATCAATAAAATGGAAAAGGAACCAATTGTATGGGAAAACATATTTGCTAATGACACCTTGGACAAGGGTTTGACCACCAAAATATATAAAGAACTCACACGACTCCACAGGAAGACAAACCACCCAATTAAAAAAAGTGAGCAAAGGATGTGAACAGACACTTCTCCAAGGAGGACATACAGAGGACCCATAGACACATGAAAAACATCACTAGGCTCAACGTCACTAGCCATCAGAGAGATGCAAATTAGAACAAGTCTTTTTAAAGACATAGATTGCAAGAGTTTGCTAGGATTGCATAACAAAATGCCACAGGCTGGTGGCTTAAACAACAGAAATTTATTTTCTCACAATTCTGGAAGCCAGAAGTCCAATATGAAAGTGTCAGAAGGGTTGGATTTTCTGAGGCCTCTCTCCTTGGCTTGGAGAGGGCTGTCTTCTCCCTGTGTCCTCACAAGTCATCCCCCTGTCTGTGTTATGTGTGTGTCCTTATTTCCTTTTCTTACAAGGACACCAGTCATATTGGTTAGGGCCCACCCTAATGACCCTACTTTAACTTGATTGCTTTTTTTTTAATTGAAATGAATTTTTAAAAATATTTTATTTATTTATTTTTAGAGAGGGAAAGGAGGGAGGGAGGGAGAGAGAGAGAGAAAGAGAGAAAGAGAGAGAGAGAGAGAGAGCAACATCAGTGTGCGGTTGCTGGGGGCCGTGGCCTGCAACCCAGGCATGTGCCCTGACTGGGAATCGAACCTGCAACACTTTGGTTTACAGCCTGCACTCAATCCACTGAGCTACACCAGCCAGGGCAGCTTATACATTTCTATAAAGAAATTCTTTTCAGGCATTGTGCTGAACTTATAGATCAATGATAGGAGAATGGTTATCTTTGCAACATTGAATCTTCCAATCCATGAATATGGTACATCTTTTCATTTAGTTGGTTTCTTGGATTGGTACTTCACACTTCTTGTGTATTCTATGTTAATTTTCATCTCACTTTAAAAATATTTTCCAAAACATTTTGTTAATGTTATCTTCCAACTACATTTTTTAATATCTTATTTATTTATTTTTTTAGACAGAAGGGATAGGAGGGAGAAAGAGAGGGAGAGAAACATCAATGTGTGGTGCCTATCATGCATCCCCTACTGGGGACCTGGTTCACAACCCAGGCATGTGCCCTGACTGGGAATTGAACTGGCGACCCTTTGGTTTACAGGCCTGCACTCCATCCACTGAGCTACACCAGCCAGGGCCCAAGTATTTTATTAATGTTTTAAAATTTCTATTACATTTTTAATTGCAAAAGTTACTTTTGTGTATCAGAGGAGCCTCTTCTTATAGTTCTCTATTCTGGTTTCATGGATGTCTTCTTTTTTTCCTAAAGATATGATGTTTAGGACTTCTTAGAAAATATTTTATTTCCTTTATTAGAGAGAGAGGAAGGGAGGGAGAAAGAGAGGGAGAGAAACATCAATGTGTGGTTGCCTCTAGCATGCCCCCTACTGGGGACCTGGCCCACAACCCAGGCATGTGCCCTGACTGGAAATTGAACTGGTAGCCCTTTGGTTTGCAGGCCAGTATTCAACCCACTGAGCCACATCAGCAAGGGCTGATGCTTACGGCTTTTAAATTGTTTAAGGCCCTTGTTATCTATTTCCCTCACATCTCTTTGTGTATGTTTAAGTTTTGTTTATTAAAAATTTGTGCTGTATATTAGAGCCTTTTCAAAAGGTGTTGTCACACATATTACTAATTATTCTTTCTATTTTCTGTATATTTTGCAAAGATTTAAAGAAGATTACAAAAGAAAGACAGCAGCGTAAAAATGAGAAAATCTGTGTGTGTAAGTGGTTTGCTGAATGATGGACTTCACTCTAGAGTAGAGTTTCTCAACTTAGGTACCATTAACATTTTGAGCCAAATAAACCTTTGTCCTGGGAGCTGCCCCATGCATTGTAGGATCTTTAGTAGCATCCCTGGCTTCTACCTAATAGATGCCATTAGCACCTCCCCCTCAGTTATGACAACCAAAGACTTCTCTAGACATTGACAAATTTCTTCTAGGGGGAAAATCACCCCCAGCTGAGAACCATTGATCTAGAATAATCAGGCCAGAGCCTCTGTACTTTCTGAAGGACCTCCAGCTCTCAGTATCTGTAGTACTTTTCTTGTGAATTGGCCTTTCCCCCCCAGAAACAAATCCTTTAACACTTTGCCTGTGGTGGGGAGAGGGTATGAGTCTGCCTGCTAATATTCTTGAATCACAGTTGCTGCTGTGCTAAATAATAACTGATATGGAATAACAACTTTAGAATACCTCCCATAATGTAGACAAAAAAACAATTTAGTTTAAAAATGATCATCTACAAAACAATAAAGAATAGGGGACAGCAAATGCGTAAGTGGTATTTTTGAAGGCCAGAAAAATAAGAATAGAATGACTTAAGGTATCACAGAAGAAAACCTTCTTGAAGTGAAGAAAATTGTGTATGCAGATTTAAAGAACTTAATGCATTACAGACAAAGTCAATGAACAGAGATCTGCGAGTATATCCTGTCAGTCAGGGTAGGCTTGTTTCTGCTGGAGTAATTCAGTGACTTCATGTGACAAAAGTTTATTTCTGTCCTGTGCGATGTCTGCCGAAGGTCCAGGCAGACTGGCGGGGTGCATCCACCCAGGGTAGCTCTTCAACGGCACTGACCTCTCCAAATCAATGAGCTTCCACAGCAGAAGAAGAAAGTACCAGAAAGATAAATGCTTTCATCCAGAAGTGACACTTCCATTTACATTTCTTTGGACAAACAAGTTATATTGCTCTGGCTGGTGTAGCTCAGTAAACTGAGTGCCAGCCTGAAAACCAAAGGGTTGCCAGTTAGATTCCCAGTCAGGGCACATGCCTGGGTTGTGGGCCAGGTCCCCAGTAGGGGGAGTGCAAGATGCTATCACATATTTATGTTTCTCTCCCTCTCTTTCTCCTTCCCTTCCCCTCTCTCTAAATGTAAATAAATAAAAAAATCTTTAAAAAACCCCAAGTAATATTGTTTTGCCCAGTTACAAGAGGGCTGAAAAATATGATTCTACTAAGTGTCCAGAAATAATGATAGCCTGTGATAACTGAATATAGCTGAATAGTAGTAATATCAACCACATACCTCTAGGCATAGCTGGCAAAAAAATTTTTTTATGATAACTAAGAAAAGAATCTACAAGCATTAATGTTGGAGGGAAGAAAGGGTTACTTCCAGAGGACTTAATAAAATAATCTTAGTGTCAGTGGTTTCTGAGTTTCTGCTGCTGCACTATAGGCTAGAAGACAACAAATTAGCCTCTCTTGAGAACAGGGAGAAGTATTTTGATTCAGTAATTTTATGCCTCATTAAGTTGTCCTAATTTTGTAAAGACAACCTGAAGGGTTTTCATATGAAAGAACTTAAAGTAGCTTTCTTTAGAAATATAGATTGAAAATTTACTTCAGTTCACAGAGGTAAGGTAAAAAACAATATAATAAAGCTGTGGTTTAAAAATGCGGAGTTAATCAGAAACCAGTCAGACTAAAGATAAGCTCAAATCACCGCTGTAATTCTGTGTTAAATATAAACAAAACTTAACGTTTGTAATTGTTGCCAGTGCCTAGAAATGTAGTTGAGTTTTGTATTTTGACTTCATATTTGGCGACTTGATAATTTCTCCTATTATTTCTAATGACTTACTGTATATATTTTTGGAATTTCTACATAGATAATCATATCACCTGCAAGCAATGCTAGTTTTATCGCCTCCTTCAGACCCTTACACCTTCCTTTTTTCTTGTCTTAAGACATTGCCTTGGATTTTCACCACAACACTAGCAGAGGTGATAGTGAGTCTGCTTGTCTTGGTCTTGAATGTGAAGGCAATGCTCTCCCATTTCCAGGCAGGGTTTTCATGGTGCATATACATTGCTCCCAGGCAATAAGAAAGCACTCCAGCTGCTTATTTCTCTGTGAATTTTAACCACGAGTTATTTTGAAATGTGATTTTAATTTTTCAAATATCTAGTTTTAGTCATATTGAGTTGCCTACTCCTAATTCAGTTGCATTGTGGTTGTAGAGTGTGGACTGCATTGTGAGGTGCAGTGGGTGGTGCCCAGGCTCCCTTGCGGGTGGAGGCGGTCAGTCCACTAAGCTCTGCCGGTGCAGTGGAATCCCAGCGTTCAGTGTGAATTCCAGGCATCTCCAGAGAAAACTCCGGCTCATCTTCAGTGCACTTTTCTCCCTTGTGGTAAACCAGTACCATTTCTTTCCCTGTATAATAACTTGTTTTAACTGGAATTTAAGTAATTGTCTTTTTAAGTTTTAATTTTTTAGTGTTCTGATATAATTCAACCCCAAATTCTTGGCCACGTATCTGAATCCCTTCTCAAGACATATCAGGTGTTAATTCTGTTAATTCTCTTCCTGAAAAGTCACACCGGCAGCTTTCTGTGGTCCTGACGTGGACTCGCTGCCCTCCAGACCTGGGGCACAGCAGTCATTTGGGGTGTCTCCCCATGACCCCGGGAATTCCCTTATCTTCCCTGTGCCATTTCCCTGTTCCTTGTACCTTTGTTTTTGTCCTGGTGGAACACATTTGCTAGCAACTACAGAAGAAAGGGGGAGTGAAAAATACATTCGAAGGCCTTTTATATCTATAAATGCCTGATGTCGGTAGTTCGACTGATGCTCCGTTTTGAGTTGAAACTCACTGGTCCTCAGACTTCTGAAGGTGCTGCTCTGGTCCCTTCCAGTTTCTGCCATGTCGAAAAGTCTGAAGAAGCCAGTATGATAACTATGATACTATCTATGTGATCGATTGCTTTCACTTTATCAGTACCTCCTGTTTGTCCCCAGCATCCTGGAATGCCACAGTGATGAGACTCAGCATGTGTGTACTTCCGTTCATTTGCTCAGCACAGTGAGTGGCCTCTTCCGTCTAGAAATTCATGGAAAAATCTCTTGAATTAGTTCATGGATGATTTCCCCTCCTCTGTTTTGGGAGATGGCCTTAACTTTATGTTCCAATCTGTTCAAGGAAATTTTCATTCCTGCTCTCATATATATGTTTTTAAATTTCCTGGGACTGTTCTGCTTCTCTGAATGTCTTGTCTAAAACGTTTTCCTATTTTTATTTATGGCTTCCTTGATGGTCTCTGTTTCCTCCAAGTTGCTTTCCCACTCTCTGTTCAGTTTTTTTCTTTTTTCTTTTACTTGAGAGTTTTTCCTCAGATACCCTGAAAAAAAGGTTTACCGCTCAAATTCCAAAGATCACTGGATGTCGTGTGCCATTAGTGGGGTTTGTGCATGGGGAGCCCTGTTTTGTTGAGGAAACACAGTTGTTAAGTCTTCAGTTGTCCTCCTTGGGCTGCTCGGATTCCCAGGGAAGACTCGCCAGTCTCTTGTCTGGAGGAAGAAGAAGGTCTGGCTGCCAACTTTCAGGGATGCAAAGAGGAGAACAGGGCTGGGGTGTGTCTCAGCCTCAGGTATGTATTCTTCAGGTAATCGCCCAGCTTTCAGGACCCCTGTCACCATCCTCAGTAGCTCCAGTGTTCTGCTCCCTTCCTGCCTCTCCCAGAAATTGTCTGGTAACCTCTCTAGGGATTCACTCCTAGCCATTTTTCCAAAATGAGGAAAGGCCAGTTATCCATCTGCAGAAAGTGGGCAAGGACATCCTTGCTTCTTAAACGTCTTCCTGTTATCTCTGCCTAATTGGACGCCCCCTCGGCCTCTCCATTGCCCCAGCCATGTTGGAGACCTGGGGGAGGAAGTATGTCTTGATTTCCATTTTCCTCAGTGCTCACAAAGGATTCTGTACTCTCAGTTCTGCTAAGTCATTTCCCACTCTTTGTATCCTTTTCAGCTCCCCAAATGTTCTTGTTTTTTTATCTTCTAGTTCCCCTCACCCTTGTGTTCTTCTCATTTTGTGGTTTCAGCAGAGCAAAAACAAGGGTGTGTTTTCCATCTGTCAGTCTTACCTGAGAGTCTGAATGTGGGTCTTAGATTACCGGATCTCTGTTCATAAATAAATGGGGTCATAACCTCTTATTCTCACTTGGTTCTTACGTGGTTTTTGAGTCAATGCTGCTGTAGTCACAGGAATGATGTGAGCAGATTTTCTCTCTTTTTTATTTTCTGGTATAAGTTGTATAAATTAGGGAATGTCTGTAATTTGAAAATTCTTTTTGGTCTGGGGTTGACTCTCCCTTCCCAGATCCAGTGATAATTATGTGATAGGATTTTTATTTTTAAATTGTTGCTGTTCTAGTCAAGTTTTTAATTTCTTACACCAATTTTGAAATTTTGTATTTTTCTGGAAATGTATCCATTTTGTTTGTTATAAAATTTATTAGTGTGTGATTGCTCATAACACTTTTATTCTGAAAAATCTCTTTTGGGTCTTCAGGGACTCCTCATTTGTTTTCTTTATTTTTTTATTTGCACTTTTAAACTTTTCATTAGTCTTCCTAGAGATTTGTGTATCTTATTCTTTTTTATATTTTTTCCAAGAAAAGCATTTAGCCCTAGCAGGTGTGACTCAGTGGATTGGGCATCATCCTGCAAACCAAGTTTGCCAGTTCATTTCCCAGTCAGGGCGTGTACCTGGGCTGCAGGCTCTGTGCTGCGCCCTCCATGGGGCACTTGCAGCAGGCAGTTGATGTTTCTCTCTCACACTCATGTTTTTCTCCCTCCCTTCCCCCCTCTCTAAAATAAAATAAAAAATAAAGAAAAACTATTATATTACAAATAGTTTATATTTGTAATATAAACTATTACAAATACAGGTAAATCCTCTTATAAAAAAGAAGAGTATTTTGTTCATCTCCCTTTTGCTCTCATTTCTGTATTTAATTGATTTCTGTCTCTCTTAATTAAGACAATCATAGCTACTGTAACAGATATATTTCAAAATTGCAGAGAATAAAAGTTGATTTCTTACTTGTCCAACAGACCAATGAGGGTGACTGGGGACAACTTTGCACAGGACTATGTAGGCACCCAGGCTTTCTCCTCGCATGGCTCCGTCATCCTGAGTTCTGAGTCCTCTGCTTCCAGCAGTGGATGGAAAGAGGAAGTATGGTGCACGGGAGGGTTTATAAGGCAGGTTGGGAGCAGGTCTGGAACAATGCACATCACTTCCGTCCCTCCTACCCTACCTGGACAAAAATGGGGTCTACCTCAGCCCTCAGGAAGACCAGAAAATAGGTTTTGGTGAGCACAAAGCAGCTCTGCCTTCACTTCTGTCATTTCCTTTCCTCCTACTCTGGGTTTTGCTGAAAGATGGTACCAGGTACCTTCCCCACCCATGTCTACTCCCATCTTGGCGGCAAATGAGTGACCTTCACTATATTCATGGTGTATATCATTCTTATTTTTGTCAATCTGAAGGTAAAAAAAATATAACCATTGTTGTCTTAACTCACATTTTTTGATTACTAGGTATGTCGAACAATTTCAATTTCACATTTACTTATTGTCTATTTGCTTCTCTAGTTTCTCTTTGATGTCTTAGATGCCCCCTCTGTTCACATTTGTATCTTTCTAGTTGATCTCAAAGACTTCTTACATATTACATGCAACAATGCTTTAAATGTTATATAATCATGTACAGACATACTTCTTAGTTTGTTCTTTTACTTTATTTTGTAATTGTATTTTGTTATACTTTTTTATACAGCCAGATCTTTCAATCTTTCTTTTATGGTTTCCACCATTGAGTCATGACAAGGAAGTTATTTATTGCAAGCTGATGTAAATGTTTCATGTGATTTTCCTTCTAGAACTTTTATAACTAGTTATTTTAGAAAAAAATATGTAATTAAAAATTGAGGCAATAGCTGGAGCTACTCTGAACTCTTCTTTTTGTCTCATGGCCCATGTCTAATCCATGAGCAAACTGTGTTGTTTCTGCCTGAAAAGTTTTTCTGGTCACTTGCTTCTTCCAGGCCACCATCATTTCTCACCTAGGTTATTGCAAAAACTTTCTAGTGGATTTCTCTGCCTCTACCCTAGCTTTTCTACTGTGCACTATCCACACAACAGCCAAAACAATCTTTTTATACTGATAATCAGCTCAAAACCCTCTGGTGACTTCCCTTCTCAGAGTAAAAGGCCAAGTCATAAACGGGCCCACAAGATCCTCTGGGATCTGTCCCCTCCCTCCCTGGCCCCTCTTCTAACATTCTCCCCTTCTGACTTTGCTCCAACCACACTTGCCTCCTTGCTGCTCAATGAACACTTACCAAGTGTGTCCCTATCTCAAGATCTCTGCACCTTTTCTCCCTCTGCCTGAGTGTTCTTCCTCTGGACCATAGATGCCTTGTTCCTTCCCTTCCTTTATGTCTTTACTTAAATGTCTCCCTGTCAGTGAAGCCTTCTCTGCCCCTCTACATGGAAGAGCAACTCCCATTCCAAGACAGATAAAACCCTCTGAATCAGTTAAGGTGTGCTCAGACAACAGAAGCACATTGAGTCATTTGGAATCAGAGGAATTAGAGGCATTGCACCATGATGGGAGCTGGTGAGCAAGTCTACAATGTTGATTTGCCACTTGGTACTGTGTGTGAATCACTGTTAGTCAGTGGGGCTGACAGTTGAAAGAAAAGTCAAGTTCCTGACTTGAAGGAAGAGGGAATGGGGACAGATGGAGACTGGAACTTGCCACAGCCTCTCATTGCCTCTAACTTCAATGTCAAGGGAGGAGTGCAGGAGGAGATGATGCCTGTGGCAGTAGAGCTGTACACATGCTTGGCCTACGACTCTGGGAGGCTGAGCTCAGGTGGCTGCAGGTTGGGTGCTGGCCCAGAAGCAGGAAAATAAGTAAAAACTAATGGAAAAAATTTACATGTGAACTATTTAAAGTTATACCCAAGAGAAGCAGGTACTCAAACATTTGCAAAAATCATCAGAAGAGTTACACCCTTAGTATTTTGTATGAAATCTCTCCAATTGATAAATATGTTTCTCAGGAAACTTTCCATTTTTTTAAAGTATATTTTATTGATTATGCTATTACAGTTGTCCCATTTTTTTCTCGCCTTTATCCCCCTGTGCTCTGCACACTCTTCCCTCCAGCATTCTTCACCTTAGTTCATATCCATGGGTTATACATATAAGTTCTTCAGCTTCTACATTTCCTATACTATTCTTAACCTCTCCTAGTCTATTTTGTACCTACCAATTATGTGTCTTATTCCCTGTACCTTTCCCCCCATCATCCTCCTCCCTATCTCCACTGATATCCCTCCATATGATCTCCATTTGTGTGATTCTGTTCCTGTTCTAGTTGTTTGCTTAATTTGTTTTCGTGTTTTTTTTTAGGTTCAGTTGTTGATAGTTGTGACTTTGTTGTCATTTTACTATTCATATTTTTTATCATCTTCTTTTTCTTAGTAAGTCCTTTTACCATTTCATATAAGGACTTGGTGATGATGAACTCCTTTAAGCTGACTTATCTGGGAAGCAATTTATCTGCCCTTCCCTTCTAAATGAGAGCTTTGCTGGATAGAGTAATCTTGGATGTAGAACCTTACCTTTCATGACTTTGAATACTTCTTTGCAGCCCCTTCTTGCCTGCAACATTTCTTTGGAGAAATCAGCTGACAGTCTGATGGGAACTACTTTGTAGATAACTGTCTCCTTATCTCTTGCTGCTTCTGGGATTCTCTCCTTCATTTTAATCTTGGGTAATGTAATTATGATGTACCTTTGTGTGTTCCTCCTTGGGTCCAACTTCTTTGGGACTCTCTGAGCTTCCTGGAAGT